TTCCTGTTGCTAGGCAAGACAGCTGTTAAGAAAGTTTTCCCCCATTTTACGACTTTTCTTTCCATAATTGTTAAGTGAATCACTTTCCATCAATATGAGTCAGTTGCCAAGGGGCTGAATTTTGATCACATGACCCTGGGGATGCTGCAGTGGACTGAAGGGTGAAAAATGGTGATAAGTCGTTTTTTTATTCCGTGCCGTTGTAACTTGAAACGGTCACTGAACAAACCCTTTTAAGTTGAGGATTACCTGTGCTTTCTATATTATCTAATGTTCTTTCTCCTAACAACGGATAATCGATTTAGCTTTTGTGGCCGCATAGTAACTTAACTTTAAATTGCCTATTGGTCCCTGTCACATTTTGATTTTGTTATTTTTCTTCCTTTGAATTTGTAACTTTGGAGTGCCGAACAAAATTAAAGTTCAAAATTAAAGTTAAAAATGTGTCCCGACCAAACAGAAACGCCATGTTTACCGAGCATGCCAATACATTGTATTATTGTGCAATGCGATGCCCAGCTTTACACACTGACGACAAAACTACCTCATTTTAGCCTGGTGTAGCTTGTTGGAGTAACCTGTGCGCGTTAGCTTTCTTGCTGTTTTTCAACGTATTGTGATGATTAAGATCCTAGATCTTTCTGCCCGCATTTGGGAGCAAAGAATGGCGCTTTGTGTCATATTGGAGTGGGTGCCTGAAACACAGCTGAGATCTCAAATAAAAACTCGTGCTGATTTCGGGCTCTAGGAAACAGTGACACCATCAGCTATTTGGGTCAGGACCCATTAATAGAAGTCTTTGTAAAGGCTCCTATTACGAAAGTCTCCTGGGAGGGATAGTTTAGCAAACTGACTTTTGTTTACAAATGGATGGCGTGCGAGTAACCCATATCTTCGCTTTGCTCCCTGGAAGCTGCTAAAGCATTTCATAGCCAGCCAGCCAAACATTGGATTGTATCATCAAAAGTCCCTCCTCATTCCCTTGACGGGCCAAGATTTGCAGGCAGGAATGCGATCTGTGCTGGAAGACATACAGTTGCTTCAAGCCAAGGGGGAAAACTGCCACCCTCAACATTTGGTTTATTTTTAAAGCTAGTCCAAGCCGCAAAGCCATGCCGCGCATTGTGATGTCACGGCACCAACGGTGCAAATTGTGCCACGGGTCTCGGTCACATCAGGTGTGCACTGGGACTGAGGTCACTTTGCCCTGGAGTTTGCCTGCCCGCACCTGTCAATTTCAAAGAGGCTGCAAAGGCTTCTTTTGAGGCCTTCAGGCTGAGTGGCAGGCTGGATTTTATTTAGGATAGAATAGGTCCCCAACCCACGGGCCGTGGCCCACTATCGGGCTTTGAGCCTTTTGGAACCGGGCCGCGGAAGTGGTGGCCTACCATGCGCATATCCCCACTTGTGGAAGCAGTGGACAACAGCGTGCGCACGCACGCCATCCTAGTGAGCGGTGAGGGCGCTTGCCCACTGTTCTTGCAAATGGAGCACACATGCTTGCCTGCTGCTCATGGAAATGGAACTGCACACGCGCACTTGCCTGCTGCACACATGGGACAATCCCTCCCCCCCACAGGTCCACAAAACCAAAAATGTTGGGGAACTCTGGAATAGAATATATTATTGGCCAAGTGTGATGGACACACAAGGAATTTTTCTCCAGTGAATAAGCTTTCAGGGTATATGCAAACGACAAAGTAAAATAATCATAAAATAACAATAGGAGAAGGTAGTAAAAAAAGGTGAGAAGGATAATGGCAATACAGCCTTACTACATGGGTAAATATCTTTAGATATAAGACAGTGCTGTGGAATTAAATGTTCAGCAGAGTGATGGCATGGGATGGGGGGGAGGAACTGTGTCTAGTTGTTTTGGTATGCATTGCCCTATAGCAGAGTCCTGAAGGGAGGAGTTTAAATAGTTTATGTCCAGGATGTGAGGGGTCTGTAGATATTTTCTCAGCCCTCTTTCTGATCTTTGCAGTATACAGATCCTCAATGGAAGGCAGGCTGGTTGAGATTGTTCTTTCTGCAGTCCTAACTATCTGTTGGAATCTGTACCTGTCCTGCTTGGTTGCTGTACCAAAAAATACAGCAACCAAACAGATGGTTGATAGACAGACAGGTAGATATCTTCATTTATTCATTCATTAGTTTATTTATTAGCATGGTTTTATTTATTTAGTTAGCATTCTTTTCAATAAAAGGCATTTGGAAGTTGGAAGTTAGGAACTTCAGGTTTTATTTCCGATTTTGTTCCTGGGCTCCCATGCACCAAGAGGTCTTCTTAGAAGGAAAAAAATGATAAGTGACCAAAGGAAAATAATTTAACAAAGACAATACGAAACTAGACAAGAACATTTTAAAAATGTGAATTAAAAAGAAAAAAAAAACTAGGGAGTGTAATATGTGTTTTTGTTTTTTCCCTTTTGATTTTGTATTTTAATCATTTGAATAAAATAATATATATGTTTGTGTGTGTGTGGAAAGAAAGGAAGGAAAGGAAAGGAAGGAAGAAGGAAGGAAGGGAGAGAGAGAAAAGAAGAAAGAAAGAAAGAAAGAAAGAAAGAGAAAGAAAGAAAGAAAGAAAGAAAGAAAGAAAGAAAGAAAGAAAGAAAGAAAGAAAGAAAGAAAAAGAAAAGAAAAAAGAGAAGAAAGATGATGGAAACCCATAGCTTAGATTAGGGCTGGCTGGTGAATTCTGGGAGTTGAAGTCCACAGGTCTTAAGTTTGCTGAAGTTGGACAACCCTGACCTATATCTTTCTGTAGAGGCACACCTATTTGCCCAAGAACATCTGAATAGATTAGAGGCTGGTGGGAAATGCCCTCTTCAGTTTACTTCCTGGATCACAGCTACCCAACCGAGCAGCGATTTGGTGAGAGCACCTACAGGTTGATCTTAGCATTTCAGGAGTACCCGTCAGCCCAGATTGGGACCATTGTAATATAGCTGTCCCTGCAAGGAGACTTCACATAATCTGTAACTCTTGAAACAGCTTCGAGAAAGGTGTGGCCCCTGTTGCTTGAAGAGCTTTCATGGGAAAAGAATGCAGAGAAATGAAGTTCAGAAGCACTGGTTGCTCCAATCCACCTCTTAACATCTGGTAATGTAATAAAGGTATCATTGATGGATTCCCCTCCTGTTTCTTTGTGGGAGACGGACAATAGAACAGATAAAACACATTGGATTCCAACCCTGTTATTCTATTCCTGGCCTTCAAGGCATGATTTTTCCACATAGCAGTTCTCCAAACTGAATAGTGGCAAGTATCACAAGCTGGCCAAATGGCTGTGCCTCCATCTGATCTGTTGTCTTCAATCCACAAGAACGTTGTTAGCAAGCTTCGCCCGAAGTATTTCCCTTCCGGAGTTAAGCTTGGTAGCCACATGAATTTAATCCTTCACCTTGCCAGACCTGCGCTCCCCAAAAGATGCTCCTTGTGGAAGGGGAGGGGGATGTCTTCTCTTTAATTACCCAGATTCTCCTCCAGATAAAAAGCTTGCTATTGACTCCATATGTGAATCTGAGATTTATGGAGACGAGTACATTGCTTAGCCACAATGTCTGTTCTTTGAATCCACTTCTCCTACCTCTCTTGGTTTAGGTCAGAGGTCCCCAACCTTTTGGGCACCAGGGACCGGTTCCGTGGAGAGAGGTTTTTCTGTGGACCAGAGAGTATGTGGTTTTGTGTGCTGCCTGCATCCCGCGGATGGGGCTTTGCTTGTTGTGTGGACCAGTTGCTGGCATGCCGCGGCCTGGTTCTGGTCCATGGACCGGGGATTGGGGACCCCCGGTTTAGGCTTTGTTGCGCACCATATAGAGAGGGGGGAGGAAATCAACACTCATTTGATACATTTCTCCAAGCTGTAGGAAGTTCTGAATGGAGTTGTTGAGTTGCATGCCTGCACCTGTATGAATTCACACTCAAAAAATTGCATGGATATAAGTGACCGGTTCTTAACTCATAGTCTTGATTTGAGCACTTTGCTTCAATAAATTCCCTTGTCTCTTTATTACCACCTGTTGGTTAATTAGCTCCAGACTTTCAAATTACTGCAACCCTTGGTTTAATTAAAATCCAGTTGAGATTCATTTAATGTGTTTGCGAAAGGGCCTCATTGCCGTTGTGATGTCTGGGTCAGTGGCACACGGCAAGGAAGTAGAAACCTTATGTTGTGGAGGAAAAAAAAAAGACTGAGGATAGAATCCAGCAAGGTTGTTATGTAGTGACTCAACATTTTCCTCAACTAGGGGAAATACTCTGAAAATCCAGCATCTGTGAGGTGTTCTCTGGCCAATGCCGAGCAGTTGAATTTCCCATAATGCCCCCAGTGCCATGCTGTTGTGGGGCAGTTTGGGAAATTAAGATGGCAGCCGGACCCAGCTTTGTGGTACCTTTGAATGTTTGTCCCTTGCTTTAAGCTACTTATAGCCCAAGATACCTAACTGTAAGTTTGTAATAGCTACTACAATAGTTGGATTGTTAGTAGCACAACCTCAAGCCTACCTGTTATGGAATGACATAACAGAATATCAGAATAACAGAGTTGGAAGGGACCTTGGAGGTCTTCTAATCCTAACCCTTACCCTAACCTATACCATTTCAGACAAATGGCTGTCCAGTCTCTATTTGAAAGCCTCCAGTGATGAAGCACCAATTCCACTGGTTAATTGTTCTCACTGTCAGGAAATTTCCCCTTAGTTCTAGATTGCTTCTCTCCTTGATTAGTTTCCATCCACTGCTTCTTGTCTTGCCTTCTGGTGCTTTGGAAAATAGATTGACCCCTCCCCCTCTTCCTTGTGGCAGCCCCTCAGATATTGGAACCCTGCTATCATGTCGGTCCTAGTCCTTCTTTTCACCAGACATACCCATTCAGCTCTAACATCTCTGGTTTGTTCCAGCTTTCCTGTTTTTTTTCCCCGAACCGTCCCCCATTCACTCTTCTCCTTTCCTCCCTTCCTTTGCTTCCCAGGAAGCTGTGAGAATTGCTGAAGATGTCTGAAAGCCTGGATACTGAAGAAAAACCTCCTGCACCTCCTTTGAGAATGAACAGTAACAATCGCGATTCTTCGGCCCTGAATCACAGCTCCAAACCGCTCCCCATGGCGCCCGAAGAGAAGAACCGGAAAGCTCGCCTGCGCTCCATCTTCCCGGGAGGAGATAAAAGTAACGTATCAGCCTAGCGAAAGGACGCCTGGCCTCTTCTTTCCTCCTGCTTGTTTTTCTTCAGGGTGGGTCCAGGGAGGGCAAAACGGTCAAGAAAGCGGCTGTCACCGTGTCTTTGGAACTCTGCCCTGTTTTTACGTTCACGTGTCGCATACCAAACGGGACAGGGGTTTGATTCTATAGGGCCGTGGTGGCGAACCTATGGCACGCGTGCCACAGGTGGCACGCAGAGCCCTCTCTGTGGGCACGCACACCGTCGCCCCAGTCCTAGGCCTTCAGCTGGGTTTTATAAAACCTTTTCACTTAAAAAAAAAGGTTCAATCAATCAATTTCAACTTCACGCGGGAAAAAAAAAGATCTCGCAAAATTGGAATTGATTGATTGAACTTTTCAGTCCCACCCAGTCTGCCATTACCACCGCAGCCACGTCCACCCAATGGGCCATGCCCACTCAATGGGCCACACCCACCCAATGGGCCACACCCACCCAATGGGCCATGCCCACCCAGCACCCGACGATACATAAGTGGGGTTTGGGTTGCAGTTTGGGCACTTGGTCTCTAAAAGGTTCGCCATCACTGCTATAGGTGCAATGGCAGTCTTCATTTTTTTGACTCTCTCCAAATCTGGCGAGACTCAGAAAAATTACTTTAAGCATGCTCTGCTTATTTTAACTGCTTTAAATGTATACTAAATAGCACCGTTGGGATCAGGGGTTGGCAATTATTTTTCCCCAGGACCACCAGAGAAGCTGGAACTGTTCCGATTGACCTCAAGCAGGTCAGACAGGGACTGACCAAGGGCCACATGTGGTCCCGGGGTCGAAGGTCTGATTTATAGCAAACAGCTTGATAAGTCACAGCTAGCTATTGTTTGCTGAACCAACCTTTATGGAGTAAGCCATAGTTTGATAGGTTGAGACCCCCCTCTGGGCCATGAGTCAACGCTGACAAACTACAGGGTAGCATGTTCAAACTATATAACTGAGTGAGTTGCTTATGAATCAAGGGATTTAATTCGACTGTTTGACAGTTCATGCCAGTATTCTCTATTTTGATTGGCATGAGTCATTCTGGAGCTGGGCCCCTCAATCACCTGCTCCCTCCAGTTTTCAATTGTGAATCTTCTTCTTCTTCTTCTTCTTCTTCTTCTTCTTCTTCTTCTTCTTCTTCTTCTTCTTCTTCTTCTTCTTCTTCTTCTTCTTCTTCTTCTTCTTCTTCTTCTTCTTCTTCTTCTCCTTCTCCTTCTCCTCCTCCTCCTCCTCCTTCTCCTCCTCCTCCTGCTTCTCCTCTTTCTCCTCCTCTTTCCTCTTCCTCCTCCATGTCACAATTTAGCAGAAGATGTGTGTCCAAATTCTGAACATTTGGAAAGTTCCTTAAAAGTGCATCAGCTGGAGCATCAGCTCTTTTCAGTTACTTACTTTGAACTCCAGGAAGAGGTACATGTCATATGGAGTACCAAAATAATATCTCTTTCTGTCTCCGTAGGCAATTTAATTGAATGACGTCTTTGTGTTTAAGCAGTCCGATCTTGCTATGCCTTCCCATTATAATTCCTTCCCTCTTAAGTGCAGGATGTGATGTTGGCTGAAAAAATAAAGAAATTGCCATTCCTTAGACAGGGAAGTTAAATATAGACTTTCTGATCCATCTTTAACTCTTGGGTTAAATGAATTTTCAATGAAGACATTACTTACGCAGCCCTATTAAGATGAGACTTTATAATTGATCTATGCTGACTTTCCTTGCTGGCATTTCAACCTTTATGGGACCTTGGCAGATCCATGAAGAGGAACAATAACCAGTTTCTTCTGAGATTTTTTAAAAATAAACATTCCTTTGAATTTGTTCCTATGGTCATATATTCCTTCATGTGTATCTCCGTAATTGCTCCAAAACATAATTTCTGTCACCATGTTTAAGTGCTATTTTGATTTCCTTGGGGATGCTCCAGCACAGGACATGGGACTTAAAGAGGAACCAATTCTCTTGTGTAGATTACTCCAGTCACACTGGGTTAAGCCAGGATTTTATGCATAATCTTTGAAGATTAAATGATAGTACCTAGGTTCACATATGATGCCATAATTGATGGTTTCCATATCAGGATCATGAGCAAACTATGGTTTAATGTCATGTGTGATCCAGGCTACTAGGACATCTGGGAAAAGTCATTGAGATGGTGCTGTTAGGGTGGTATTTCCATTCAGGGGTCCTTGATGTTCTCTGAGCTTGTTTGGGTTTTTTTTGCAGATGTTTCATTACCCAAACTGGGTAACATCATCAGTACTAGAAGGGAGAGCAAACCTCATTCCTTTTTAACACTGATGATGTTACCTTGTTTGGGTCATGAAAGGTCTGCAAGCAAACAACCAAGCTCAGAGAACATCAGGGACCCCACAGTCGTCGTCGTCGTCGTCGTCGTTGTCGTCCTCCTCCTCCTCCTCCTCCTCCTCCTCCTCCTCCTCCTCCTC